ATATTAGTATCAAATTAATTATTTAAAATTCATATTTTTTGTGTAATTTTTTAATTCAAATTTTTTTATTATAATTTAATTTAGGTTTAATAACAAAGTAATTTATATTTGGTTTAATAATATAACATTGGGCAAAATGCACAAAATAACAATCTATTTTCATAAATTTCTTTATTATAGCATTGTAGTTTCAGTTTTTCTTATTACAGGAATTTACTCTCAAACTATTTTTTATTAGGATATCGTATTTTGAAAAATTTACCCATTATAACATTGGATAACCTTTTGATTTAAATTTACTCATTATATCATGCTTCCATGCTACCTCATTGTCCACGTAGGTTGTCCACATGTACTATAGTGATGTGACTTTCTTGCTACATCATTGTACTTTTAAAATTATTTTATTATATCATCTACTAGTTATTATTAAACACTATATTTTTCATTTTAATATTTAGATATTTTACATGTTATTTAATAAATATATTAAATGACTTAAAAAAATCTAAATTATTCATTAATATACCAATATCAATAAAACTAGTAGAACACAACTTATCTCGCTAATATTTTTAAAAAATATGTGTTTTTTGAAAAAAAGGAAAATAAAAATTGTTTATTTTTTACCAAAAAATATTATCTTTTAAGAATATATTATATTTATTTAAAAAAATTTATTTGATGTATAAATATATTAAATTAATTAAATTTTTTTGAATTATTTATTAATATAAAAATATTAAAAAATGATAGAGCACAATTTATTTCGTTAACATTTTAGAGAGAACTTTAAAAGATATGTATTTATTTGAATAACATAAAATAAAAAGAGTTACCTTTTTTACAAACAAAATATATCTCGAAAATAATGTTTTCATATTTATTTAATAAATATTTTAATCTAAGAATATTTAATTTGCATGCAACTTAATAAGAAAAAGTAAAAAAAAAAAAAATGTTTTTTAGATCATAGCAATGAAAAATAAAAATTATTAATAATAATTTAAAATAAGTTTTTATTTTTATTTTAGTTAAGTCATCAAAATTATTCATCCACATCACCTCATTAAAGCCACACAAATAAAAAAAGTCAAAGGATTAACCGGTTTAAAAGTTAATAGGTTATCCATTGCTATAATGAGTACATTTTTTAAAGTACGATGCCTTAATAAAAAGTAATTTGAAAGTACGTTGCTGTAATAAAGAAAAACAAAAGTAGAATGCTATAATAAAAAGTTTTATAAAAGTAGGTTGTTATTTCATGCATTTAACTCTATAATTTTCTTATAAAGATAATAATTAATTATTTTGTTAGAACTCGATAATTATTCTAATTATATTTTAGATTTTTTATATTTTAAAATGATATGTTTATCCTCTATTTGATTATGTTTATCCGAAATTAGTTACACGAATTCAAACATAAAGCTTTAATAAGTTGTACTTATATATAATTTACTTGTAATCTTGAATTTTAAATAATATGCATTATTATACAATAATTCATGTATAAAAAATAGTTTTTAAGAGTTTTCGTCAAATACTTTTTAATATAATATATATATAGAGAGAGAGGGGGGAAGTTCAAGGGAATATCTCGGGAAAATGAAAAACACTCCATCAATCATTTGATTAATTCATTATATCTATACTTTTAGATTGAAAAATCTCACACCCCCTATTTTTTAAATTGAAAAAAAATACGAAATATGATCAAAATTCAATCGAAACAAATTACATACAAAAAAAACAATCATGTTTTCTTGTTAATTTTTTTTCATCCGATTTTTCATTTATTCAGAATTTTCTTTTGAACCTAATCATATACATATATATATATATATATATATGTATGTGTACAGAGGAGTAATCAAATGAAAATTGTCTTTATTTGTGTAAACTATGTAAACCAATCTCATCAATTCATTTTCTTGATCAATGGTCAAGATTAGTTTAGTTTATTTTAAGAAATTAAAAAAATATATATATTAAAAAATTTATTCTATAATAGCGAGAAGGGCAAGATGGTAAATCCAACCACATCTTCATCATGCACCTTATTCATCATGAAACATATTATGGTAAATTCCTCACCCTATTAATCATGCACTCTGTTTCACTTGTCCAATGAGATTGTTCACACACCCATATCATCATGCACCCTATTTATCATGCACCAATTTCATAATCATTTTCATTTATTCCATGCACCAATTTCATCATGTATGAAACCGGTTTCATGAATATATTTTTTTCTATTACTGATTTCATTGATTTATTAATCTAATAACTTACGATTTTCATGAATCTTGGTAATAATAAACCGAGACACAATATAASAAAATCCAATTTTTAATATTATAATTTAATTAAATATTTAAAAGTTAATATTTATAAAATTTCTTTTATTATATTACCTTAATTAAGATTTATTAATAACTTCCATATTTAATAGAAAACAATGCAAATAACTAATATACCCTTAATGATTAAATTTAATTATAAAAAATTGGAATATTCCTATCGATCGAAATTAGTTTACACGGTTTCTAAGAATTGCACGGTTTTCATTTAAACGTGCCTCTATACATACATATATATATATATATAGAGAGAGAGAGAGAGAGAGAGAGAGTTTGTTTCAAATACAACTCGTTGCATTTGTACAACCAACGCAACACAATAAATTGAGATATTTATGAAATTGATGAGAGTTCATTTATTATAATTTGAATATTTATGGAAGATGAATATGATTCATTAATTATGATCAATACTTTATATTAGGAAACAATCAAAACTTCTATGAAATCATATATTAATCAAATGAAATGGACGATTGAGATTGAGTTGTATTGGTTGCACAAATATCAAGGGAATATGGTTCATTAATTATGATTAATACTTTATATTAGAAAACAATCAAAACTTCTATGAAATCATATATTAATCAAATGAAATGGACGATTGAGATTGGATTGTATTGGTTGCACAAATATCAAGGGTTGTATAATAACCAACCCCTCTCTCTCTCTATATATATATATATATATTAGAGTAAATTATGCTTTACATCCATGTATTAATATAGTTTTCTGTTTTATTTTATGACTTTGTTTATTTATAGAATATCCTTATAATAGAGGTTTTTACTTTCTTCTATAAGCAAATTAAAGGACCGTTTACCCAAATGCTTACCTGGTAAGTGTTTACCAATATGAGTCAACATTATAATTTATTTTGATGCATAAGATTTTAGTATATCAAAACATATCAAATGCAACAATTTACTGGGTAAGAGTCGTCATCCTCACTTATCGAGTAAGACTCTCTATTTTTCTCATCGCTCTTACCCGCTAAGATTCTTGACTCTTCTCATGTTCATCCGATGAGAAAATTTATACGTTAAACACTTACTTGTAAGTGTTTAGTAAACGACCCCAAAGTTAATTTTTTTTATAATTTGACCTAAAAAAACATATAAAGAAAAAATACTGCATTACATGGAATCCGACATATAATCAAATCTAAGTTATTTGGACAACGAGAGGTATGTCATTAGAAAGCGATGTGGCGGCTTCGTGAGTGTCTGGTTATGTGAAATCATCAAATTTCAACATCATCTTTTATATTATTTCCACGTAACCTTTTCCTTTTTATCATATTTACTGTTTTATTAATTGCTAATTATTATTCAATAATCATTTTATCCAACTTGATATATTATGATCAAGCCATATATTATATTTAATTACGTGGAAAAATGCAAAGTCTCCATAAAAAATATGCTAACATATGTATATACATGTATGTATGTATACATACTTGTGTGTTTGTGTAACATCATGAAAGAAAAACTGCATGCTCTTGAGTATGATACAGCTGCACAAATGGATGCAACTCTATGATACACATAGCACACAAAGAATACATTCCTACCGAGCCTCTAACACCGTTATAGTTGCTCTATCGACCCCTCCGGAAGAGGGTTTGGGATTAGACGAGCTTTCTCCAACAAAGAAAGCAGGTTGTTTAGGTGGAGGCAATGCACCGTCACTACTCAACATCCTAACCACTGACGACATTGTTGGTCTATCCGGTGCAAGATTTTGCACACACAATAGACCAACATGTATTGTTCGTTCCACTTCTGAGACAATGCAAGAGTTGCGTAAACAAGGACTCATGAGCTCAGGACACTTGCCTTCTCTATAAAGTCTCCATGCCTGATTGAAACCGAAATCCATGATCAAAAGTGAGAGAATGGGGGTGGTTTTCCTCTGTCCTAAAATAAATACAATATTTTCCTTTTAGGTGAATTTTCAATCAAAATTACTCATTAGTGACCGATACAAATTTAATAATAAAATCGTTAAAAATTTATTCACTATATAACGCTTGGGCAAAACAAATACATGTACCCTTCTTTTGAGTGGGATATACTGTGATCGCATGGTAATGGTTTGGCAGTTTGACTATGCAAAAATATTCTTATCAAGATAAAGTTAAGCTATAAGATATTTACTTACATGTCCAAGAAGGTTATCATTGACATCTTCATGAGAGAATTCTCTGTTTTTCCTCCCACTCACCATCTCCAGTACCAAAACACCAAAACTGAAAACATCCGATTTCACAGAGTAACGCCCATGAATTGCATACTCGGGTGAAATATAACCACTGCAACAAAACCAAAAAGAATGACAAATAGGCGTCATAAATGAATTACATCGTCCATAGTTTATAAATACTTACTATGTTCCAACCACTTTCTTTGTCTTGTCTGTAATCTGGTCTCCTCCAAACTCTCTAGCAAGCCCAAAATCTGATATTTTTGGGTTCATGTCACGATCCAGCAGAATATTGCTTGCTTTGAGATCTCTGTGGATGATTCGATGGCGAGAATCTTGATGGAGATAGAGAATACCTTTAGCAATCCCACGGATAATATCAAAGCGCAGAGGCCATTCCAGCATAGAACTTTTGGTTTCATCTGCTAATATAACATTACTATATAGATTTAGATTAAAAAAAAAACTATATGCTTGCATGAGTTGACTCTATATCATTCTTCATTTCATTCCCCATTGCCATTCTTCACAATCAAGTCAATAAGACCCACAATCATCTCTATCCTTGTATCATATAAAACAAGATGGAAAAGTGTAGTGTCAATGACCGTCATTCAACGTTCAACATTTTCATTTTGCTTTATAAAGATTAAGGAAAAATAAAGATGCGATTGTTCATCAACGATTGAGATAGGACACACAAAATGCAGGATGAAAAACGAAGGTAAATAACTAAATACTTGAATAGCATTACTATTCAATGCGCAGTAGAAACATAATGAAAGAGTCGAACCAAATAGATATAAGTCCAAGCTTTTGTTAGGCAGGTATTCATAAATCAGGATCCTTTCATCTTCATCCATGCAGTATCCAAGAAGCTTCACAAGATTCCGATGCTGAAGTCTGGCAACACAAACAACTTCATTGTAGAACTCATCGTACCCCTGCTCAGAAGTTTCTGAAAGTTTCTTCACAGCTATTTCTTGTCCGCTTTCCAACACTCCCTGCAAATTATGGTCCGTCATATGAGCTTTAAGGGGGCACTTAGTTCGTTTCGGGGAATGGAAATGGGAATGAGTTTCAACCCACCCCACCCCCCCAGTTTGTTGAGAAATGCTTCATTATCCAGTATCTAGTAATGACCCAAATTATTGCATCAAACCAGACATCATTAATGATTTCCGTTTCCATTCCCCACCACAACCAGCACCCCCGTATTTTTGTGTTGAACCGGATAAACAACAATAATTCTACTTGGCCAATCATAAATTTCTATTTTTATTAAAACCACTCTTGTTGAACTAAGTGGCAAGTCAAAACCAAACCAAAACCACACGAAGGTAGGCTTTGGTAAGTGGCAAGTCAGACGTTGCATTTATTTTGTGACACAGGAATTATATATTAATGTTATACATTGTCTTCATGTTACAAGCTTTGCTTTTTAACCATAGATGTGCATGCAAGAAGTTACCTTGTAAACTGGACCGAAGCCACCTTCTCCGAGCTTATTGTCAATGGAAAAGTTATTTGTAGCCTTAACTATTTTAGATAAGCTAATAAAATTCAGGTCTAGATCATCCTTCTCTACATCCGAGTACTTTTTATCAAGGGCATGTACCCTGCGACCTACAAGATAATATGTAGAACTATGATAAACAAGAGCGAGAAAGTTGTATACTCTTCTTCTTGTTTTACATTTTTCATTTGTTAAAATATGGAAGTGACTCATTTGCATTACCTCGTCCTTTCGTGTGAGACCTTCTCCTTTTCTTCTTATAAACATACACTGCTAAGGACAAGCCCAGCAAAACCAACAAAATTGACAAGGTGATGGTGAGTACTCGAATCATTTTGATGCCAGATTGGGAGATCGTAAGACCATCATCTACAAAATGCAAAAAGTTCAGCTACCAGTTGAACCTGAACTCTGTACAATCTGCTTCCTTTGCTAAATCATATTAATCTCATTTCTTTATTTACCAACGCTGCAAAAGCAGAAGTTGGAGCAACAAACAGATTTATAAACAGGATACTCCATATCTTTACAACAATGGAGACATATAGAATCTGAGATATATAACACAGTCTAGATAAGATAATGGGCAATTAAACGGTTTTTATTATCTATATGCGCATATAAATCTTGACCCTTTGTAAGCTCAAAAGGTCCATAAAGGAAGTTGCTATTTTTTATATGGAAATGAAAAAAATGCAACAATTAAAAGGAAAAAGGTTGTTCTGGACACAAGTTCATTCATGAACTTCCACAAAATCTGGATTGAGAAATGTGTTTACCTTTTAGAAGAGAGGCCGGCATTCTTATATAAAGATCTTGACTCTCATCACAAACTTTAAAATCCAACAGTTCGCCAAACCATAATAAGCATCCACTCCCTCCTCTTCTGATATCTAAATTTGCATAAGCCGTGCAAGAGCAATTTTTCCTGCAGGCCATCTCACACTCGCCAAGGGTCATGCTCTTATTGTACCAAGATTTTTGTGTGTCAGGAAATTTCATTCCTTTGATTTTCCAAAAGTCTTCCGTGACATCACAATCTAAAGGAACTTTGCGTTGGCACCCACTCGACCAACCTGCCATGTTCCATTCATCCGGACGTTTTGGTTCAAAACCATCCATACAAGTACAAGAAGGAGTCTTGCTGATGTCACAGCTTCCATAAGGACCACATAGTCCATAGCCATTACACATATCCAGTAGACTATTAGCAAAAACAATCCATTCACCGCTTCGATTGTTCCAACGCAATATTACCATGCTGCCGTCCCACATCAACCGCATCATCTGAACAGTTGAACTCTTAAGCTCGGATTTATAATATACTTCCTTCTGGTTAACAACAAAGTCAACTGAGTAAATTGGATTTGGCATCTCATTAGGCAGACCACTAAACCTAATGCCATTCCATGGTCCATACCTTATGCGTTTGAGTAAACCTTGCCCGAGTATGAACACTTGTGGATATCCATTTGTGTCTACATAATTTACATACTGACCTAGAGAAGGGTCATTGGGACTCTTCCATGATGTTAAGTTCCTGTTAGTTCCTGTTACAAAGTCCTTCCCAAGTTTCATTCCAGGTAGTAAGGTGTCACCAGGATAATCAAAACTTTGCCAAATGAAATTTGTCTCATCAGTACTGTTCCCATCCTTCACAACAAAATTTCCAGTATCCAGAAGTTTAGCCACTGGATTAATATATCTGACAAATGCTGAAGAAGTGGATGACCAGATTACGGTATCACCACAGCAGGAAATCAGCAGGCGTCCCTGACTATTGACTTTGAAGGTGCCTGATCTATTGGATAAGGGTAATTCTCTGTTAGCAACCCATACCACTGTACCCGTTGCCACCTTCTTGTACCATATCCCCAAGTAACGATTCCTGGAGTTAGCAGGGCTAAAGAATCCCATTTCATACATTTCTCCAGCTGAAACAATGGTTTCACCATCTTTGATTACTTGATTTGCAGCTATGCTGTCTACTGCAACAGAAGGTGAAAAAAGCAGCAAGAATAAAGCAATGGAAATCAATAAACTTGTGAAAAAGCCATCCATGGAAGGTAGGAAAAACAAACTTATGAAAACTAAATTGTTTTTTCTTCAAGTTGAGGATGAGATGGGAGGTAGGATAAAATAATTGTAATTGTGATTCTGATTGTGATTGTGATGTCATTCTGACGAAACAAAGACTTTGAAAAATAAAATTTAGTTGTACTCAAGAAACCAACTTGGAAATTTAATGACTTCAACGGTTACCCCTTTCCCTTTTAGAATTAATTTCCATCTGTTCTGTAACTGACTTCTTATATAAAAAATGCCCTGTTGCTGATTATATAAATTATTTGTCCACTGTGACTGTCTGCTACTTTTTATGCTGGTAACCTGAAACTCAAGATTCAACTTCAGAACTAGATTAAATCACATATACCTTGATCATTGCATCAACAAAATGAAATGCGTTATAAGATTAACCCTATTTCTTATTAGCGTACCAATCAAAACCCTATTCGAATTCACATCCCAAGAACAGCAGTAAAATTAATAACAACAACCAAAAAGAACATACGCGAATTCAAATATCTCTCGAATTTTGACGATTTCTGAGGAGAGGCAGACGTTCAATGAATCATACCTCCGACTGGTGGTTCCTGGAATGTATCCTCCTACCTTTCGTCTCCAAATAAATGCAAAAAAAAAAAATCCCTATTTCTCGGAATCTTGGAAGAATTATTATATTTTTGAGTTAACTACAAAATTGGTCCCTGTGGTTTTTCAAAAGTAACGATTTTAGTCCTTATAGTTATGAAATTACAAATGACTATCGTGGTTTTGCAAGGACATCTAGATTTGGTTTTTTTTTAACGGTCGTTAAAAACTCTGTTAAATGAATGGCATTTTCATTTTCTTTTCCCATTTTCTTGTTTTCTATTTGATAACAAAACTAAAGGACCAAAATCATAATTTTGATTGGGTAAAAAGCAAAAAAATCAGTAACAATACGAAAACGTCTCTTATTTAACAGAATATTTTAAAAACGACCATTAATGAAGAGATCAAATTCAAACCTTTTTGCAATCACAATAATTTTTTTTATAATATTAAAAATATAGATACAAAAGCATTATCTTCGACAAACAACATGAACCAAATTTTTAGTTTTACACTGTATCTTTTGATTTGTTAAGCCGAGATAATAAGATCTAAAAACATTGACGTAAGAATTTTTGATAGATAAATCTGAATATAATGGTCTTTGTTGGATAAAATTAAGACAGGTTAAATTTTTATATATTTTAGATTTATTTTATTCAAGTTTACATTTTCTCTCTGATGATGTGTATTTATATGGTCTGTAGACAAGAATAAAACGTGAGGATTTGGAATACGGTTTTTTTGTGCGGATCAATCGGTCCAATATGGTGCATGCAGTGGCACAATTACTACTTTGTTCTTCCATCGTAGTATAAAAAATAGGGTCGTGAAAGTTGTAATCACATTTTTTGTTAGGTGCAACCATGTATTTCTTGAAATTATAATAATAACAAAAGTTTCTCGTGATATAATTGGTTTGTAAGATTTTTTACCCGTTTAGGTATGAGTTCGAAATTGTATCATTTTATTAGTCTTTAACTTTTAATTTTAATTTTATTATTATGTTTTAAAATAAATATCAGGATAAAGAATCAAACACCTCACATTCAAAAAAAAAAAAAAACAAATGATTTTATTAAAACAACACATCCATCACTTTTATTATGGAGATTTTTTTGAATTTGTTTATTATAATTATATTCTTCTAATAGAAAACATACACATGGCATGGCACGTTAAAAGATAACGTTGTTTTTTTTAATCCGACATATTTAATATTTGGGCAATCAAAAATATGTTTATTAAAATTAAAAGGTAATCGTGTAATGTAATATGATATATTTTGATTTTAATGTTTCGTCTTATTTTTTTGTATCTATTAATATTATAACATTGTTTTATATGGTTTTGATAAAAGAAAAAAATAATGTTTTTATATTTGAATAAAATATTAAATCAAATATCTCACATAAATTTAAAAACAATATATTGATATTAGTATATGGTGGCACGGGTTACTACCTTGTTCTTCCATCGTAGTATAAAAAAAATAGAGTTGCAAAAGGTGTAATCATATTATTTTGTTAGGTGCAACCATATATCCATTGAAATTACAATAATAACAAAAGTCTCTGATATAACTGTTTAATCGTAACTATGAAAATCAAAAGACAAAAAGAAACCCAAAAAATTACAACTAATTACAATATTTGTTAATTTATATGAATGGACCTCAAATAAGCACTCAAATATTGCTTAGCCTGGAAGGAAGGAGAACTGAAACTCCAATATGATACAACAAAACTAACGATACATATCACACATAAAATAAATTTAGTGTTGCATTGGAATACACACTTCCTATCGAGGCTCTAACAACGTTATAGTGGCTTCATCGACTCCTGCTAAAAAGGGGGTCGAATTAGGCAAGCCTTCTCCAACGAAGAAAGCAGGTTCTTTGGGTGGAGGCAATGCACCCTCATCATCCAACATCATAACCACAGACGACATGGTTGGCCTATCTTCTGCAAGATTCTGCACGCACAATAAACCAACATGTATCGTTCGTTCCACCTCAGAGACAATGCATGAGTCGCGTAAACAAGGACTCATGAGCTCCAGAGACTTGCCTTCTCTATAGAGTCTCCATGCCTGAATGAAATCGAAATCCACGATTATAAGTGATAAGAGAATGGGATAGTTTTCCGCATTGTCCCAAATAATACTATATTTTACTTTTCGGTAAAGATACCTTACTTTTGAACCAGATACAAGATTTAATAAAAAGAAATACCGTTCGTATGGTTTGACCATACAAAACAAATGCTTTTCAAAATATAGCTAAGCCATAAAGATATTTACTTACATGTCCTAGAAGGTTATCACCGACATTTTCATGGGAGAATCCTCTATTTTTCTTCCCACTCACCATCTCCAGAACTAAAACACCAAAACTGAACACATCCGATTTTACAGAGATACGCCCATGAATTGCATACTCGGGTGAAATATAACCACTGCACAAAACCAAAAATGATGACAAATAAGTGTCATAAATGAATTACATCGTCCTTAGTTAAGAAATACTTACTATGTTCCAACCACTTTCACCGTCTTAGCTGCAATCTGGTCTCCCCCAAACTCTCTAGCAAGACCAAAGTCTGATATTTTTGGGTTCATGTCGCGATCCAGCAGAATATTGCTTGCCTTCAGATCTCTATGGATGATTCGATGGCGGGAATCTTGATGGAGATAAAGAATACCTTTAGCAATCCCATGGATAATATCAAAGCGCAGAGGCCATTTGAGCATGGAGCTTTTGGTTTCATCTGCCAACATAACATTACTATATAGATTTAGATAACAAACTATTTCCCCATTGTTAACATGATTTGCCAAATATATCATTCTTCACTTCTTCCCCCATTGTGATCGTTCACAATCTGGTCAATGAGACCCACAATCATCTCTTTTTCTTGTGCCATATAAGAAAAGATGGAAATCTGTAGTGTCAATGACCGTCGTTCAACCTTCAACATTTTCATTAGTTTTATACACCAGAAAGAAAAATGAAGATGTGATTGTGCATCCAAGATTGAGATGAGACCCTCAAAATGAGGGATGAAAATAGAAGGTAAATGATATACTTGAATAGCAATAATATACAATACACAGTAGAAGCATGATGAAAAAGTCGAACCAAATAGATATAAGTCCAAGCTTTTGTTAGCCAAGTATTCATAAATCAGGATCCTTTCATCTCCATCCATGCAGTATCCAAGAAGCTTCACAAGATTCCGATGTTGAAGTCTGGCAACACAAACAACTTCATTGTAGAACTCCTCGTACCCCTGTTGAGAAGTTTCTGAAAGTTTCTTCACAGCTACTTCTTGTCCATTTTCCAACACTCCCTAAAGATCATGATCAGTTATATGAGATTTAGGGGGCGCTTTGTTGGTTTCAGGGAACGGAAATGGGAATGAGTTCCATTCCGCGCAGTTTGTTGAGAATGCTTCATTACCCAGTTTCTGGTAATGACCCTAACTATTACATCAAAATTGACAGCATTAATGATTTCCATTTCGATTCCCAACCAAAGGGCCTTTGGCCCAGCCGTATCCGGTAACCCAACCTTTCTAGAGGTCAAGGATTCCAACATGACCAAAGGTGAGGTGTGTGTACGACTTTCATTTACCATATATAAATATTATATACTTCAAAAAAACAAGCACCCCCGTATTTTTCTGTTTAACCAGATAAACTATCATTCTACTTGCTCAATCATAAATTTCTACTTTCATCAAAATCACACATTAAAATTAGTGGCAAGTCAGAATCAAACCAAACAGACCCAGTATATGCCACCCGAAGGTAGAGTGTGGGTAAGTGGCAAGTCAACATTGCATTTATTTTGGGACAAAGGAACTATTTGATTAATGTTATACATTGTCTTCATGATAAACACTTTGCTTTTTAACCATAGATGTGCATGCAAGAAGTTACCTTGTAAACTGGACCGAAGCCACCTTGTCCAAGCTTATTGTCAATGGAGAAGTTATTAGTAGCCTTAACTACTTTAGATAAGCTAATAAAATTCAGGTCTAGATCATCGTTCTCTACATTGGAGTACTTTTTATCCAAGGCGTGTACCCTCCGACCTACAAAGTGATATGTAGAATTATTCTAGTGAGAAAGTTGTAAAGTCTTCTGCTTCTTTTACAATTTTTCATTTGTTACAAGTATTGAAGTGACTCATTTGCCTTACCTCGTCCTTTTGTTGAAGACCTTTTCTTTCTCTTGTTACGAACATACGCTGCTAAGGACAATCCCAGCAAGACCAATGAAATTGAAAAGGTGATAGTGAGTACCCGAATCATTTTGTTGGTGTCAGATTCGGAGACCGTAAGACCATCATCTACAAAATGCTACAAGTTTAGCTACTAGTTGAAACTGAACTTTGTTACAGTCTGCTTCCTTTGCTAAATTATACTAATCTCATTTCTATATTCTACCAACACTGCAAAAGCACAAGTTGGAGCAACAAACAGATTTAAAAACAGCATGCTCCATATATTGACAAAAATGCAGACATTGTAGAATCTGAGATATATAGCACAATCTTGATAAAATGTGGGCAATTTACGGTCTTTAATCTATACTATATTATAAAGCATTTGACAAAAACTCTTAAAAACTATTTTTATGCATGAAGTACTGTTTATTGATGCATATTACTTAAAATTCAAGATAAATTGTGCATATATACAACTTATTAAAGCTCCATTTTTGAATTCGTGTAACTAACTTCGGATAAACATAATCAAATAGAGGATAAACATCTCATTTTAAAATATCGAAAATCTAAAATATAATTAGGATAATTTTTTGAGTTCTAACAAAATAATTAACAATAATTAATTATTATCTTTATAAAAAATTATATTATTAAATCAAATATAAATACTTTGTTATTGAACCTAATTTAAATTATAATAAAAAATTGAATTAAAAAATTACACAAAAATGAGAAATTTTAAATAGTTAATTTGATACGAATATCGATATATTTTTGTACAAATTTTATTTTTATTCAAATTTATATTTTATTTAAAAATAAAAACATTATCGCTTTTCAAAATCACATAAGACCAAATTATGATATCGATTGAGATAAAGAATAAAACGAAGATTAGAGTCAAGATGTATCCCGCAACATTGCGCGAGTACCTTTCTAGTATCTATTAGGGCCTATCAATCTTGATCCTTTGTATGCTCAAAACTTCCATAAAGAAAGTTGCTGTTTTTTACATGTAAGTGAAAAAATCATAACAATTAAAGGTGGTTTGGGAATCAAGTTCATTCATTAACTTCCACAAAATCAAGTTTAAGAAATGTTTTTACCTCTTAGTAGAGAGACAGGCATTCTTATGTAAAGATCTTGACTCTCTTCACAAACCTTAAGATCCATCAGTTCACCAAACCATAGTATGCATCCACTCCCCCCTCTTCTGATATCTATATTTGCATAAGCCGTGCAAGAGCAATTTTTCCTGCAGGCCATCTCACACTCGCCAAGGGTCATGCTCTGATTGTACCAAGATTTTCTTGTGTCAGGAAATTTCATTCCTCTGATTTTCCGAAAGTCTTCCGGGACCTGACAATCTAAAGGAACTTTGAGTTGGCACCCACTCGACCAATCTCCCATGTTCCATTCATCCGGGCGTTTTGGTTCAGAACCATCCATACAACTACAAGGAGGAGTCTTGTTGATGTTACAGGTTCCATAAGGACCACAGAGTCCATAGGCATTACACATATCTAGCAGACCATTTGCAAAAATAAACCAATCTTGGCTTTGATTGTTCCACCGCAATATTACTACACTGCCATCCGACATCAACCGTATCATCTGAACAGTTGAAGTCTTAAGCTCGGATATATAATATACTTCCTTCTGGGTGACAACAAAGTCAACTGAGTAAACTGGATTTGGATTCTCATCAGGCAGACCACTAAACCTAACACCATTCCATGGTCCAAACCTTATGATGCGTGTGACTAAACCTTGCCCGAGGATGAACACTTGTGGATATCCATTTGTATCTACATAGATTAAATACTGACCTATAGAAGGATCATTGGGACTCTTCCATGATGTTAAGTTCCTGCTTATGCCTGTTACGAAGTCCTTACCAAGTTTCATTCCTGGTAGTAAGATGTCACCAGGATAATCAAAACTTTGCCAAATGAAATTGGTCTCATCAGTACTGTTTCCATCCCTGACAACAAAATTTCCAGTATCCAAAAGTTGTGCCACTGGATTAATATACCTGACCAATGCCGAAGAAGTGGATGACCAGATTATGGTATCACCGCAGCAGGAAATCTGCAGGAGTCCCTCATTAGTGACTTTGAAGGTGCCTGATGTATTGGATAATGGCAAGTCTCCATTAGCAACCCATACCACTGTACCCGTGGCAATCTTCTTGTACCATATCCCCAGGTAACGATTGTTGGAGTTAGCAGGGCTAAAGAATCCCATTTCGTACATTTCTCCAGCCGAAACAACGGTTTCACCATCTTTGATGACTTGATTAACAGCTATGCTGTCTACTGCTACAGAAGGTGAAAAGAGCAGCAAGAATAAAGCAATGGAAATCAATAAACTTGTGAAAAGGCCATTCATGGAAGGCATACCCACTTTGACAACTAAACTGTTTTTTCTTCAATAAATATAGTTGAGGAGGGGAGGTGGGATCAAATAATTGTGATTGTGATGTCATTCTGATGAAACAAAGACTTTGAAAAATTAATTTTGTTGTATTTAAGAAACCAACCTGGACATTTAATAACTTCGACGCTTACCCTTCACCTAGAAAAGTAAGATCACCTTTGTTAAATAACAAAATGAGAATTAACTTCCATATAGGTTGTAGAACCCGCAGTGTAATCATATTGCTCTAAATTCAATCAAATTGGCTAAAATTATACAACTTATTCATCCACTTTCTGCTAACCCGGATACTTGTGCTGGTAACATGAAACCCTAAGATTCAAGCTCATTAGTTCAGAACTCGATCGAATTTATATATACCGGAATTATCGCATCAACAAAGTACGGGCAACGAAATGAAATACCCTGGATGATTAACCCTACTTTTTTATTAGCATAGCAATCAAAAGTCAAAACCCAATTCGAATTCGAAATTCGAATTGACATCACGAGAACATGTTGTTATAATTAACAACAACGACGAGAAAAAAAAAAAACATACCTCAATTCAAATATCGAATTTGTAGGGAGAGACGGACGTTCATACGATTCGACCGGCGGCTCCTGCTTATGATTCAATGCCACTATCCTCCTCACCTTTCGTCATCGAATAAATGCAAATAAAGTTCACTTTGATTTCTATGTTTTTAATATTTTTAGTCAACATAATAAGAATTTAACATTCCCATTACTATCAAATTTAGGCTCTATTTTTTAATTACAAATTTTGATCTCGGTCATGAGAGACTTTTCTTTATTAACGGGATATCTAACCTGTTATACGAGCCAACTAATCTCATGATGACACTCTGTTTCGTGGGTGATTGAAATTACATGACTACAAAAGAATTTTTATTTCCACATCAATGAATTTCGTCATACAACATATAATTTGGGATGTGTTCTCCCCCGTCACAACCACCAACCCCTTCCTTTTCACAATTTCGTAAAATAACATAAAATATTTTATATTATAAAATAATTGAGTTGACTTTCATAACATAATAAAGCATTGGATTTCTTTGAATAAATATACATGAAAACCAGATGAGCATTATTGAATATAGAATCTGACATGGTCACATGATCAAAATTATCTGGACAATAAAAGATAAGTTGTTAAATTTAATATGACGAACCGGCGGCTATGTGCATGTGTGGCTATGCGTCACTTATTTCTATTTTCGATTACGACAAGCAACCCTACCTTACCCATAAACCGTCACATTTATAGCCTTGCTTGTGCAAGTTGTGCTACACAAATCAAAATTAATATTTATTAAATTTGAAGTTAATATTTTCCATATTATTTCTTTTTTGCTTTTAGTGTTTATTAGTTATTATAAAATATTTTATATCAGATAAAACAACTAATTATTCTATTTCAAGTTCTTTAGAACATAAGTAACTGTAATCGTATTTTTCCATGAATTAGATATGACAAGACCAATTTCTTTTCTCGTTGGTGTATAATAAATGTAAGGGGCTGTTTAGTTATTTTTCCATTAAATTTTGTATGGATTAATTTGTTTGTATAGATTAGGTCAATAGTATATAGAATCAATATAACAAATGATATTATTGCATATATTATGAATTTAATATGTAAAGTCAACATATAATTTATCATCAAAGTCAATTACAAAAATGGTTTCTTGAATGTAACTAATTACAGATAAATATAATCAAATACATGATAAACATTTAATTTTAGATGTTTTATAATATAGTATAGATAAACTTAAATCAATATAAAGAAGAGGTCAACGAATTCCGAAACCAAACCGATATAAGTTAGTTGGGTTTCATAAAACCTATTAAAGTAAAGATGGTGGTTTTGGGCTACACATTTGTTGCAAAAGCGGCAAAGTTTCATGGGCTGCTATGATGGGCTAGTAATTATTGGGTCAATGGGCTGTGACTTGTTACTAATATTAATTATAGAATGAAGCTATTATGGTATTTTGTTTCTCTCTCTTATAAACCAAGGGACCGTTTACCAAACGCTTACTCAGGTAAGCGCTTATCAAGTAACATTACCTCATTGTATTAATATGGTAAAGACCAAGAATCTTACCCGGTAAGAGCGAGACAAGAACCAAAAGTCTTACCCGGTAAGTAAGGGCGATGACTCTTACCACGGTAAGCGCTTACCAGGTAAATTGTTGCATACGATGTCGTTTTGGTGGACTAAAATCTTATCCAGTGAGTAAATAATAGTGTTAAATTTTATCGATAAGCACTTTTCGGGTAAGTATTTGGTAAACAGCCTCTGATTTGGTATCAAATATTTTATAGCATGTACCAACTAATTTGGTATCAAACATTTTTGTTAAGGTGGGGAGGTAGGGATCAAAAAATTGTGATTGTGATCTCAGTCCGAGGAATCTAAGACTTGAAAAAAAAATTGTTGTATTTAAGAAACCAACTTGGAAATTTAATCTAAGACTTTAATTGTCACTCTTTCATTTAGAAATGACATCTGCTCTTTTAAGTAACGAATGATTATTTCCAAAGTTTATCGCTTTATCTTCCCATCATATCAAAATGAACCAAAATGTAAAGGGGGTGTGAATGGTTTGATTGATATTGAGAGATCTGTACTTTTTTAATTTTTTATTCCATTTTTCTCACTTTTTTATTTAAGGTTAATATACACGATATATATATATATATATATATATATATATATATATGTGTGTGTGTGTGTGTGTGTTTGTTATTGATTTTCGATTCTTATGTTATTAAATATTAAAAACTAAAAATTTAATATTTCTAGAAAATAAAATATTATTTTTCTTATAGAACATTTTTTATATTTATAATTTGATTTGGGAAATGTTATATGCATCCCTTTTATGTCAAAATCAGATCAACTCATTGATTTAAAAAAAAAACAAGTCTTGATGTCAATGTGTGTTGGAGAAAAATAGTAGCCAGGAGTATATTTAGGAATATATAATCGGTGAATTTAGGCTATTTTTTATAAACTAGCTGATAAACTAACATATTTATGATATTAAAAACTAAAATTTTAATATTTTTTAAAACAAAGAGATCATTATATTTTACATTTAAAATAAAACTAAAGCATTTTTTTAATATAACATTATAGTTTATTTCCTAATAATCAATTAAAATAAAACAAAAAAAAAATACTATTTTCACCATTTATTTTGATAAGGTAATTCAATATTAAAAAAAATAGACATCAGTCAATCTCCACCCAACTACCGATGGTGGTTTTGGGCTCCATTTTTCCTGCGAAAATGGCATGTTTTTTTCGTGACTGCTATAATGGGCCACTAACTAGTGGTCAATGGGTTGTTGCTAATAGGATGAAACTTGGTAAGGAACAGTGCCTCAATCAAATGAACAAGCAATATCTATACTATATTATAAAGCATTTGATAAAAACTTTTAAAAATTATTTTTTATATATGAAATATTATTTATTGATTCATATTACTTAAAATTCAAGATTACAATTAATTTTATGTAAGTACAACTTATTAAAGATTTATTTTTAAATGTGTGTAACTAAACATAATCAAATACATGATAAATATCTATTTTAAATATAGAAAATCTAAAATATAATTAAGATAATCGTTGAGTTCTAACAAAATATTTGATTATTATCTTTATAAAAAATTATATCATTAACCGAAAATTTAAAAAAAATGAATTAAAGAATTACACAAAAAAAAAGAGAAAATTTAAATAGTTAGTTTGGTAGTAATATAAAAAATCATTTTTATATGATATATCTTCATATTTATATTTTGTTCAAAAATAAATCGTTTTCTCAAAACAATATAAAACTGTATTGTAACGTCGATTGAGACAAAAAAAGTAACATTAAAATCAAGAGTTATCTCGTTGCATTGTACGAGTAATCTTTTATTTATAATTAATGCTCAAATAAAATTGAAAATTATGATATTTAACAGGGAAAAGTTGAAAACAATCCAATAAATTATTCATTTTGTATATTTTAATTCTTAAACTATTTTTTTAATTAAATTAATTATTAACTTTCTTATTTTTAATTATTAAGTCCTTGAATTTTTTTTATTTGGATGAAGAAATTATTAAACTTTCTATTCTTAAATAAAAAAATCATTAAACTCTCTCCTTTTGATTGATTAAATCACTGAATATTTTTTTAATAAATAAATCATCACACTTTTACAAACAGGCTACATTCATCCTTTTAACCCAAAAAAAATTATTTTAAATGATTAGTAAAAGTTCGATGATTTGTTTATTTTTTTAAAAAAATATTCAAGGTCTTATATTCATTCAAAATGTGAAAGTTTAATTGTTTTTTTTCAATCAAAAAAATAGTTTAGGAACTTAATCATTCAAAATAATAAAGTTTAATAATTTTCATTCAAAAAAATAGTTTATAAACTAAATCATTCAATATGAAAAAATTCATTGGGTTTTTTTTAATATATTTTTTCCTATTTAATTCTTTAAAAACCAATATAAAGTTTTAAATAAAGGTTGTTTTTATGGGATCTTCTCAAATCAAATGATATTTCAAATATGTAAGAGATTGTCCAAACATGTAATAACGTTATTGTAAGATTCCAGACTAACTGTACCACGTATTGTTCGTTTTGTTCATACATTTAAAGTCACGATTTTAAAACGCATCTGATAGACGAGGTATCAAGTCTCTTATAAAGCAACATTTGTTCATTTCCCCAACCAATACGAGATCTTACAGTTATCATGTTAACGATATGAAATGTATTAAAAATTTTAATCAAATTAGAACTAGAAAACAAAGAAGCTCAAAGGTTAGGGATTGTGTTGTTAGTTCAATATTCATTGATGATAAATTACTAAAATATTAAAAATATCTAAAGTCGATACAGTAGTATCACTATTTATGAATTTGAATATCATGTAACAACTAAATTTATATACTTGATACATAAATACTATTCATATTAAAGACATTTTACCTACTTTTTATCACATCTTACTTGCTTCTCTAGTAAGAGGTTGATGTGCTCCTTACCACAGTTAATGGTCACCATCAACTGCAAGTGAAACATGATCATATCTTACCCAACATGACGCCATAAATGTCGTATCTGCACTATCTCGTGTACTTGGGTATCATTTTGATTCAGCCCCTCCCAAGGAACGAACAGATAGAAAGAAGGAAGAAGCCAGAAAATTTAATCGTGTTCATACCTTACCCATTAAAAAACACTAAAAACCCTAACTTCAATCCCACACTTAAAAAATTTATAAAAATAAAATAATATATGTATTTACTATTATATTATTTTATTAGTGTATTAAACTATTAATCTATATATATGATTAGAAAAGTTGAATAAAACATTAACATATATTTCTATAGGCATACTCTATGGACCTGTAGTTATAAAAGGCAACATTTTAAATCGCCATAATTTTTAGTGTTATAGGCTATGTTTGACAAACTAGCTGATAAGTTAGTTGGTAGTTGATAAACTAGTTGTTAGCTTATAAACTAGTTGATTAACAATCCATGTTTGACAAAACTAGCTGATAAAAATTTAAAATTATTATTAATATTAATAATGTGTAAATTCTATTAATATTTATTTTAGTTAATAATAACAAGGGTTATAATTTGTAAAACTTACAATAAGCTAACAAAATACTATCTTAATTACCTAAAAAATAAATGAAAAAGTTTTTATTTATATATTTTTAATGTTGGAAATCCGCAAAATAAAGAGGTAGAAATGGGTTTTTGTCAAACCACCTTTTTCCCATTTCTCTGTTACCGTGTCAGTGGTCGGTAGGAATAGCATTTTACCATTATCAACCAATTTTTAACATTTTCATTTTTTATAATAACTATTTATATTTATAAAATAGAGCATATTAAGTTTTTAATTCCTATGCTTAATTTCCATATACTTTTAAAATTATGGTTTTTATTCTTATGATTTATTATTCATTACATTTTTTGTTCTTATGATTTATTATTTATTATATTTTTTATTTTTATGATTTAAAATTTATTGTTTTTTTTTGTTTTTATAGTTTACAATTTATTTTTATTTTAGTCATTCATACTTAAAATTAATATTATGGTCTTAGAGACGAAAATAGAAATGAATTAAAAACCATAGGAACAAAAATTGAAATTTTAAAAATATTATTGACGTTCGTATTGGTCTATAATATTTTATTTTACTGCTATTAGAATATGCAAGTCAATATTTTCATATATTATAACTTTGATTTGGTCCCGGGATGTGTAATTATCTTAGGATATAATAGTAAATTTTACTTGGTCCACTTAATACAAACATACGGTAAATATTAATTTTAATCAACACTTACTTCAACAATATATGTTATCACAATCTTGCCTTTTACCCTAATAAGCATTTATCTATAAATTTTGGTAAACAACCCCTAAGTTGGTACGAATTTGACACTTTTAATATTAGCTGATGAAAACATAAAAACACATTAATTAAAATCTAGAAATTAGAAGAAGAAAAAGATGATTGGCTTATTCGGGTTTTGGGCCGGTCAGATAAAAAAAAACACAAACCAAATCAAACCACTAAACTAATATTAACTTGAGGTTCATTTGAAACCGAAACATACAGTATGTATTAGTCAAGATCTTTGTAAAATGTCTCAAACATCCAAGATTCTGAAAAACAAATGGTTCTAATAAGATGTTGGTCCATACCCTTTATAACACCAAACATTGAGAGCAAAATTGGTTACAACTTTCATGGAATATAAACGACTTTGCACCTAATATTCCTTCAAATTAGGGGAAATTTGATGTGACCTGAATCAGTATCATTAATAACAGACATTTCAAAACTGAAAACTGTCATTATCTTCCTGGGAGAGCAAGAATCAGCGACACGTAAACGTGTGAACCTTTGTGTCACTTAAATCATTGGCATCAATGAAGAACACGTATACTGGATCTACGTATTTTATGAATACCAAAAAGGGAGGAATGTACCTGCTATCAAGCATTTTCATTTTGAGCTCCATCATTTGTACAAAGAGGCTTTTAGCTTTAGAAAATGTTCCACGACAATTTTACAATGAGGTCATTTATCAAACGCTTACTGGTAAGAAATATCATCGTCACGTACATTATCATATACGTTATCGGTATTAAAATGGATCGTTAGTCACTGAATTAACACAAGTTCAATGAACATTAATAAGGTAAGAGGTTCATGCTAGACAAAAACCCTAACTGAAATTAATTGTTTACCAATAATTCGTAATAAATGGCTAGAGATGAAAAACAATTTGGGTAAGCATGGTCGACATATATATATATATATATATATATATATATATATATATATATATATATATATTTTGTAAGGGTGTCCGGGCCAAAGCCCGACTAATCCCCGGCAAATTTGGAGGCTAAACATGGCCCCACTTAAATGTCGCCAACACTCTCATCCCAGGGCTCGAATTTGGGTTCATGACTATGCCATGCCCAAACCTTTACCACTAAACTGGAAGGTCTTTGACCATGGTCGACATATTGATGGCCAACTCGGCCAAACACTTCGGTCGGTCGGAAGCGTAGGTAAACAATACCATTTCTTATGAGGTAAGAAACTCCCACATAAAACTAAGGGGCCGTTTAACCGGTAAGCGTTTACGGTAGAGTTAGCAATCTCACTTACCTTATCAGGTAAAATTGTTAATCCACCAAAAAGTCATTACCGTTTAACCGGTAAGCGCTTACGGTAGAGTTAGCACTTTCACTTACCTTATCAAGTAAGATTTTTAATCCACCAAAAGAGAATTAATAGTTTACTCGATAAACGCAGGCTAGATATGAGTTGTCACTCCGACTTATCGGTTAAGACTCTAGGATCTTGTTAATTGTTATCGTTCTTATCCGGTAAAACAGTTTTTTTCTTCTAAAGGAAAAAAAATGTTTATAGCATATATGGATTTCTGTGTAAACAAATAAAAATAAAAATTCATATATGGAACATTTGGGTCAAAGCCCAGCCGGATGAGCCGAACCGGGAAAAGTTACATCAGCGCAAGATAGCCATACAGCAAAGCTTAAAAATTTAAGATGCGCAGACGGACCTACGCTCCGCCGTGGAAAGCACCTATTCTCTCTCGTCAGGAACAGTATTCAGATCCAGAAGAGCACCGTCCGTTCTCTTCTTATTATTAACATCATCATCAGCAGCAGCAGCATCTCGTGACGGATCCGATAACTTACCTTTCTCGAAGTACTTCACCGCCGTCCGCATCCGTCGCAGAATAGCAAAAAACTCATCCACCTCATCCTCCGTGGGAGCAGGCACCACCACCACCGGATCGTTCTCTACATCCTTCCCCTTCGCTTCTCTCTCTTTCTTCCTATGTCCTCCGCTACCGCCATCCACCGACCTGGTTCGCTTCTTCTGATCTCTCTCCATGTATAACTAATAAATTAATATCCTGTGAATTCCTTATTCCTTCGATTCCTGTTGTTTTGTAGACGATCACAAGGATGAATCTAGTGGTTAAAAGTATTATCTGATCGACATAATTACTTTGCAATTACGACTCCAACGCACACAAAACACGCATCTGTGTGTCGGTCTAATTAGTTGCTGGTGTGGACTATAAGTATTATAATAAATGGACTCAGATGTGATGTTGATCCGACGTCATGGCAAATACGTCAGATCCCGTCATAAGCACTCAAGAATCAAGACGGCCCCAGATAGAGTTGTTAACAGAATTATTTTTGAGAAAATATGGTCATCAGTAATATCTATGGGGCCCATCTCATATATTCTTTTAATTTAATATATAAAAAGACCATAGTTGAAAAAAGTCTTTGAATACCAATAAATCATAAAAAAAGGCTGATGTTATACATGGACATCAAAATAACTTCAAATCATGGATTGAAAAACTAAGGTAAGTTTTAAAGTGTCAAAAAGAAATTAGTAGATACGAGTGCATTTAATAATGTATAGGTATGTATTTAGCCTACCCCTTAAAAGGATAGGAATCATTTGCGAATGAAAGTTAAGATAAGAAGTATAAGAAAATATCTTCACCCTTTGATGCACATTAAGATAAGATGCACCAGATTAATCCTCGTATCAAGCATGGTTCACGAATGGATTAAGATTAAAAATTATTTTAACTTTCTTTCTCATACGATCTTTTATTCCCCTTAAAAACCATCAACATGTTAAATTTATGTTATAAATATTGGCCAATTCTATTCATATCCCTTCCCATCTAACTGGTATGTAAGTGAAAAGGGGATATAAAATATGAGTGATAAGAAAAAGGAGGGGATATAAATTTGAGTGGTATGTAAGCAATGAGGGCATGAATACCAACCACTTTTTATATTGAATTATGAATAGAATATAAAATCACTATTATATAATTAGTTTCAATATAAAGATCTTAGGGGGCGTTTATTAAACACTTACCCGGTAAATAATTACTGGGTAATTTTCCTCACCGGATGAACATGGTAAGGGCCAAAAATCTTACATGGTAAGAGCGATGATAACGATGGAGAGTCTTACCCAGTAAGTGAGGGTGACGACTCTTACCCGGGTAAGCGCTTACCGGGTAAATTATTGTATAGGAATACGTTTTAATGTACTACAATTTTACCCAATAAAATAAATTATAGTGTTGACTCATAACATTAAACACTTACCGGGTAAACATTTAGGTAAACGTCCCCTTAGGGTGTCTTTTACCATATACTTATCGAGTCACTTACCTTTACCAAATGTACATGACAAGGACCCAAAATTTCATCTGGCAAGTGAGAATGATGACTTTTATCCGATTATTGCTTACCGGATAAAATGTTTCGTACGATGTCGTTTTCATTTACTAGAAACTTTTAATTTTCTTTAGTTTTTACAGAAAATTTCTATTTTATATCAAAAGCTTTTAAACTAAACGATGATTTACGTCCAAATCATTCTATTGATCTTATAGTGACAGACATGTTGGGCAAAACTATTAGCAGTACGATGGTGGCATCATTACATGTTTAGTGGGTCTGGTGGATTGACAGATAATTTTTGAACTGTTACGTATTTTAGAATTTTTATATTTCAGTAGTTTAAACTAAAATAAATAACAAACTATATGAACATTTACCGTATTTTTTTTATATATAAATACTCAATAATTTAAATGACTTGTTACTTTTTCCCTATGATTTTCCGTTATAAGTTACAAACCATCGGTTTGAATATATCCTTGACTTGAGCAATTTAAATAAACTTCCGTTGAATGCCATAATTTTTTATTTTGTTTCTTTATTATTTTATGTTTTTATTAAAATACAAATGTTTGTTCAAACATCATAATCCTTTCATCTCATATAATTTATATTTTTGGATGTTCAATAAAAAATTAAATTCCTACTAACAACCTTTTGTTCAAAAGTTGTAGATAGACACATTGTCGTACACGTAAAATATTGAATATTATTGCTTTTTTTGTTTAATATTTTAATTTATTTATTTAAATAAAATATTGATTATCAGCCATCTTAATCGGGTTTGCATGAAACCCGTCTTCAATGACATTAATGTGAGGTGGTATCCATTGGCTCACTCAGCGAATGAACCTAGTTGGAAGGGGTTCAAACCCGAGACCTGACTTGTATCCGAGCAAAGTCATCTCGTCTCTTTGCCAACTGAACTATACGTCAGAGGCTATTCAATTGTATCTTTCGATGAACAATGTCAATAGTTTTTGTGTTACCAAATGGACAAATCTAATTGTTCGATAAGATTATCATAATATTCTTAAAAGAGGATCATTCCTTCTAGAAAAACTTAAAATCACCCTAAATATCACTCGGAACAACTTTTTGACTATAGACCAAATTTTGCGACTGCAGTCAAGATAGATATAATATGTTACTTATGAATTAACTTATAAATTGATTTAGGTAAGGTCATAAACTAACTCTTCTTGAAAAGGAAATATTTTTAGCTTACAATTGTTTATCAAACACGACTAGTTTATCAAATAATAATTAATTTATTGAAAAAGAAACGTTTTTAGCTAACGATTGCTTATCAGCCATTATTTTTTCTACATGTCATTTAGCTTATCAGATAATTTTTACCAAACATGACTAATTTGTCATATAACGATTAATTTATTAGTGAACGATCGCTTATCCAACTAGTTTGACGAACATAATCTAAATCTTACGTAAACCCTATTTTTAACATTAAATTCCCTTCAATTGCATACCAAATTTAGCATCATAATAATGATAATAAATAGCAAAATATTACTTTACGTATTCCAAAATAAGCGTCTACATAACTATTTTAATTAACCTACGATGAAAATCCATTTTTAAAAGTAAACGTCTAAATTCTCATTCTAACTTTAATTTAAAATTTATCTCTTTATAATTAAGAATAAAACTGTCATTTTGTTAAAATTCAAAAATAAGCCGGTTTATATTTACAAAATATCTTAATTTCTTTACCTTACTTATAAAATTTAAAAATAAGCTGGTTTATATTTATTAAATAATTTCAATTAATTAAACTATATTCTTATAAAATTTAAAATAAAACACTTATTTTTAACTAAATACTATGTATAATATATTCAATAATATTAGTTAATTTTTATTCTATTATTTAATCTACGTTTTTTTTCGTCGTCAAATAAGCAATGTCGTCCCTCTTTTTCTTTTTCTTTTCTAGAATCCCATATATAAAATTAGATCCAATAATTTTAATTATTTAGTTTTTTATTTTATTTTATCATATTTTAATGACTTCTTTTATAATTGTCTTCAATTATTTAGATTCTTCTAAATCTTTGTTGATATTTTCTATATTTTTTATAGACTTTTTTTTAATATTTTAATGGTAGTTTTTTCTTTAATGATGATAGATTAAGAAAACTTTTTTGTTGGAATATGTTTTTACCAAAAATGGTTAAAGCGAAGGTTGGTGGGAGAGAAAGAATAGAGGTGAGAACCAAATGAAAAAGTCTGGATCATTGATCATTTTAAATCTCAAATCCATCAATGAATAGTGTTTAATACGAGAATTGATATGGTGTAACTCAATGTATCACATTCTAATATGTATCCAAAGTGGAGATCGTTTTTTACGTTTTTCAGCTTAAATTTCATTCTTGTCGGAACTCAACCCTAATGTTTAAAATGATTATATATAAAATATGATTCTTCCGACTAGAAAACTTGAATCAAATATTTTAAATGTCAAAAAAAAAAAAATGGATTTTTCTTGCTCTAGAAAGTATGCTAAATAGAATGTTAAAATAGAGAACATAAGAAAAATAAGGTGGAAATCTTCAAATTTGAAAAAGTTTCTAAAACTCTATAATATATATATATATATATATATACTAGAAGCGTACTCGCGCAATGCGGCGAGATACATCGTGATTTTAATATTTCATTTTATTTTTTATCTCAGTCGATGTTATAATATGGCTTTATGTGATTTTGAGAAAACGATGATGTTTTTATTTTTGAATAAAATATATGTTTGAAAATATCATAAAAATTTGACAAAAATATATCAATATTAGTATCAAATTAACT